ATTGAAAGCATATTTGAACATAGAGACTCTACGAATAAAGAAAAAAAGAAATAAACGATCGGCACCTCTTATATTTGTATATGCCTGCAATTACTCCAATATTTTGTATTGTGCGCCAATCAGGCAAAAAAGTAATCCCAGAAATAACCGCAAAATTATACATCATGATAAGTTACGCAGGGCTACTTCTCATCCTGTGGCTACCTGCTCAGACGTAGACAGTTGTGAATACAAAGTTTTACATATATTCGATATAGTACAGCATTCTGTGATTACTATAAATGTACATGATACTCTTCCACTGTGTTGGCATGGCAATAGTATATGTTTACGGAAATTTTACATAGTAGATTTAGGATATTGCATGAGTATATCTTCCATGTATCAGATGTCACATTCTTTATACCTCATGTTTGGAGGTTTAGATATGCCCTTAAAGATAATTGTTAGGTGAAAGATGGCTTACTTCTCCGCAGAGTTCAAACAAACGTATTGAAGCTATTTTAGTGTTTTTTGTCTGTATGTAAGTCTTGCTAATTCTTCACAAATATACAGTACGAAGCCGAGTCAAAGAACAGCATCATGGTAAATGTAAACAACTTTGGAATATTCCACTCCAATAAAATATATTTTCTGAAGTCTAAGGCTAGTTGAAACTCGAATTTTACCACACATATTCTTAATAATTGTATACACAGATTGATGTTCAGAAGATACATTAATTAAAACAAAAACATCGACAAAACTTTGTAAGTTCGGAATCCCCGCAGGCGGACTCACGAAGTGACGCAACTAAAATAAAAGTCGAATTAATTGTACTTTCCTTTGTTTAACACGATATACTGGGTAAATGTAAGTATTTGATATAATTTAGTTATATATTGTAAACTTAGAAATTAGTAGCAATTCGCTTTTCAGTCTTATTTATACATATTATTCATGATTTATGAGAAATTTTGTGATGTCCAGATCACTCGATTGAAACTATTCAAATCCTTTACCATTTTATTATAAATTTACTTGATACTTGTTATCAAGTCATATTTCGTGAAAGGAAAGAAGAATTCATTGTACAGATCAAAGGCGTAAAGGCAAAGTTAAAAGTCAAATATGTTAAGTAGTGGAAGATGTTGAGTGTTTTTCGTTTCCGTTTTACAATTATTGAATTCTCAGTATTTTCATATACTTTAGGATTATTTTATTGTATATTCTATATGTTGTGTGTCTGTTATTAAATCTTAGATATTTCGTGTTTTATTAAATATCTCTTTGTTGCTTGTGTGGGAATGTCTTGTTTCATTATTTATTCATATATTTTCAGAATGTGTCTGACTTATTCCTCAGATTTCCTTCTTATTTACTTAAGATATGTGTTGTAAAGTAATATATATATATATATATATATATATATATATATATATATATATATATATATATATATATATATAAATATATATATATATATATATATATATATATATATATATATATTATAAAAGATATCAGATATAGTTCATGTAAGATATTTTGTCATTAGTTGATCATAAGAAAATGTGCATTCTCTATAATAGTCCTCATTTTTCTCATTTTAGGACTTGCAGATGATAATTCCCTTACACCATGAATAAAGCTTCCAAAAAATCCCAAAATCATCAGATGAGAGATGCTGGGAAGTCTTTTGGAAAATGGAAGGTGAGAATCAAGAGTTTGGAAAGCATTTTTAGCATTTTAACTTATGTTCAAACTTTCTCTTAGGTCTGAAATTCCAAGCTAGTCTAACTTTTTTCAGTGTAGCAGCAGGGAGTTCACTTCATGATATTACTGGGAGGTTGTAAAACTTTTTACCATGCCAATTGATTTATTAAATCACGCTCCAAAATTAATTTATGACCTATTTAATTGTTTAGTTCTTTTGAAAATAAAAGAAATAAAAAACCTTATAAAAATGTTACATTTATAAAGTTTTATTTTGACATTTGACTTTCTACATGTTTTATCTGCCCTGCCCTGTCCTGCTAAATAAGTATTTTTCATTTATTCCCTGCTAAGTACGGATTTTTCATAATGGGGGGGGGGGGTAAGTCATTCCCTCCAAAAAAAATTATGTCCTTAGATAGCAGTATAGGTTACTAAATATAAACAGTCTAATAAAGTTATTCAGTTAGTTTCTTAGTTTTCTATCAATTTTGATTTGTTATTTGATGGTTAAAGAGGTTCTGGACATAGACAGGAAAAAATATCTGTATGTTTAAATCATTAACTCTTTATATTTTGTTCCTGCATCCACTGAGTCTCCTCATTGCTTATGTAGTCTTTTTATTGTATTGAATAATTTGTTTTCAACTTCTAGCAGGGAGAGATAAGTTTGGGAAATTTTCAAAATCTTGGTGGATTGAGGGAACTGATTACTTTTTGTGTATCTGTGTAACTTGACTTATTGATGGTAATTATCTATTCTTGCTCTCCTCAGAAAAAGTCCAAAAGAAAAGATGACAAATCCATTATGCAAGCAGAGGTAAAATGTTATAAGGATAAAAATATGGTGAGTTCAACTGCTGAATATCACATATTTATCACGTATGTAGTAAGGACTTGCATGCAGTTTGAAATTGTCTTTTTTTAAGTACTTCATATTCTTTGAAACAGAACTGTGTATGACTGGGACTTGAAAATAATTGAAATTATTAAAATTGTTTAATCTTAATTAAACAATTTTTGGTCAGAGATTTTTACTTTGTTTATAAGTTAAGATGAAATGAAAAATAAATTAACTTTTGTGTATGACAGTGA